AAAAAAAAAAAAAAAAAGAAAACAAAACTTTACAAAGAAAGACAATCTTTGGAGGTCAGGTGGGGTCTTGCAGGGCCCTGAGAGCAGGGCAGAGGGCTGTGGCTGGGATCCGTAGCAGTCTTTGGAAAAAATGCCTGAGGAGTCTTCACCACACAGTAGTTGGTCATGGGGTACATGAGGTTCCTTTTGTCCCCAAGATGTCCCAGCAGTTGCAGTAGTCAGTGATCTGGAGTATCATATGGTGTACATAGGAGGCCTAGGTATAATAACTCTCTCATCATCCTCTATGTCCAACCAAATGTTTAGAGATACTGCCTGGGATTGTGGAAAGAGGAGCAAAGAGCAAGGAACCCAGATCAGCCTCTGCCTAGCTGTGTGGCCTTGGACAAGTGACTTAACCTTTCTGAGCCTCCAATTCCTCCTCTGACAATTGGAATACTATCTCTCTCACAGGACTGGGCAAATGTGAGGAATAAACGAGTAGCACATGGAGATATTCAGCAGACAGTCACTTCTTTCTGCCATGCCCACGTCTGCCACCACTGAGCGGATGGATCTGCTCAGCATCCTGAGGCCCCTTCACAATAGCTACCTTCTGGTGGCCTCCAGGCCCTCAGTCAGGACTGGGTATAACCATCCCCTGTAAACATCTCCAGAGAATGAGATGCCATGCACTTCTGGATGACATGTTCCTGCAGCATTTAGGTTGTTCCTGATATCCAACCTCCTGCACAACATAAGCACGGCGCTCCTGACAGCCCACCCTGGCTGCAGCCACTTACGTTTTGGCTTCATAGTCCTTCCATGCCTTCTCCAGCTGCTTTTTCGAATCCTAAGGTTCAAAAAGAACAATTTGCCCAATGGGGCACTTCAGCTCTGGAATAAGCAGTATAATTTGCTACCTTTAGGGGGATCCCACCTGTTTATGCCACTCTGAGCCTTACTCTAACCAACTTTGCTTCCATGGCCCCTGCCTCTCACCCAAAACAGATCCAACCAAGGTCATTTCTCAGGGCTGAGTGTCTTCCCCCACCCAACTGTCTCCTCCTCAGTCAGGTTTAGTTGGCCCTAGCCTGGGGTGTGGGGAGCTGATGGTTCCTCAGAAGATGGAGATTGGCCATAAGGACGAAGACGGAAGGATGAAGGTTCAAACTCTTCTCCTAACTTTATCCCACCATTTTCTCCTGCCTGGTACCACATTATCTCCTCACCAGGAAGGGGCTAGGTTGAGGAACATATGCACAGAGAGGTTGAGAAGTATAATCAAGGCCACACAGCAAGCCAGTGAGACTTGGCTGAGTCCTGGCCCTCACCTAGCTGGGCTGCTCACACCCTCCTGAACAGCCCTGACTTCAAGTGCCCCAGTCAGTCAAGTGAAAAAGCTGCCTGTCTGGTTTGGGTGGTTCTCAGGCTGGTGCCCAGCCAAGGGCAGGGAGGAACCCTCTGGGGGGAGGACAGTGCTTCCCTGAGCCATCTAGGGCAGACTTCCCAGGGAGATTATTCTGTCAACTTTCCTAAGCTCTACTCTGCTTCCAGCCAGGGGGGCTGCCAGACACAGACAGAACAGCCCAGGCATGGGAGTCAGGAGCCCTCAATTCCCACACTGGCTCCTCCACTTACTATCAGGTTACTTAACTCCCTGAGTCTCAATTTCCTCAACTGCAAAATGAGGATGACAGTATCTACAGACCCCCTCTCATAGGGTCATCATTAGAATAGCAGGAGACATTTGACATAAGGGCTTGGTAGAAAGTAGGTCAGCTGCCCGAGCCTGACCCCAGAGCTGGGCTCTCTAGTCCTCCCGAGGGTCAGCAATATGAGGTCAGCACTGCCACCATGACTCCCCCCTCTCCTGGTCTCAGCTTCCAGCTCCTGGCCCAGCCCAGCCTCCCCTATGGTCTCCTGTCCAGCCCTTTCTCCCTCCCATCTCACCATGTCTGTGCGCCCTGCTCCCACAATGCTCACCTGTCGCCCATCCCTCAGCTGCCCCTTCAACAGGCTGTCCAGTGGGAAGGAGACAATATTGTTCAGGTTCTGAACCTAGAAAAAGGAAATACCCCCACCCCCACCTTGGGTTACTGTCTGGGCCACCTTGAGAGGCATAGGGCACAGTGAAGTATCATGAGGCAAAGGGGAAGGATGGGGGTAGAGGAAGCCAGGGAAGGAAAGACATGCGAAGACAGAATGGTAGAAGGGGAAGAGGCAGAGTGTCAGTCAACATCAGTCCCAGAAAAGCTGTTGCCTCCACACCTGACTTACCCAGCCTCATCACCTCATCTTACTCCAGAGCATCCCATGGTCAGTCCCACCTCTGTTCCCGTGCCAGAACCCTCTCGCTTCTCCCTGACTCTACAAAGCCCACCCGGGCCATGTGCAGAAGCTGAGGCTTGTCGGAGCAAGGGCAGGTTCTAGGATTTGAGAACAAAGCAGATGTGACAGGGAAAGCAGAGGCTGCTGAGGACAGGTGACAGCAGCAGCGGGAGCAGCCAGGTGCACAGGCAGGATCCTCAATCTGTCCCTTCCTTCCCTTAACCTCCTCCAGGGAACCCTCTCGTACAAGGGCTCCTCCTGCTTTGAGCCCTTCTCTGCTCCTTTTTCAGAGCCACAGAAGAGAAGGAGAAACAGGAAGGAGACAGGGAGAGGAGTTGTGAGAGAAGTCAGAGAGGAAGGAGAACGCAAGGTGTGGGCCAGAGCTGGGAAAAGAATCTCGGGCCATGGAAGACGACAGGGGAAGGGAGGGAGCCAGCTCTTTCTTGGTCAGGTTCTTAGGACCAATAAATTTACCCTGAGTCTGTCTGGACTAGGGCAGGTTGAGGAAGATGAGGGGTCTCACCAGGTTCTTGAAAAGTGCAGCCACCTCACGAGTGAACACAGCCAAGTTCAGGAAGCCTGTGGACAACTCGTGGCTGTTTTGGGACAGGTGGCTGTTGCCCAAGGACTCCACAGCCTCTCGGTACTGTTCTTCATTCTCCACGTGGCCTATGGAGGGTGGGAAGGGGGCTCAGAGTCAGCTCCAGGCTGCAGCCAATAAGGGGCTGCCTGGGCAGGTTGGGCACGAGTCCTCTCACTCACCAAGGCCAGAGCTGTGAATCGCCCGCACAGACTTCTTTATCCTCTGCAGGATGGCTTGGTCTGCTTCTAGGCTCTGGAAGCAAACACAGAGATTCAGGGGCGCTGGCTGGGCAGGGGATGCTTTCTTCTCAAAACACACAGAGTTTTGCTGGCCTCCAGAACATCGTCTCAGGCCCCTCTGTACCCCACCAATCATAAACAGCACAGCACACCTGTTTCTACTCTCTTCCATCCAGGCCACAGGGCAACACAGAGATGGCATGCCACTCCAGAAGCCACCGGCTTTTCTCCCCAACTCCAATACTGGTCAAGCAAAGGCAAAGATTCAAATGCACATGGCGTAGGGTGGTATGCCAGACCTGGGTGGATGCTTGGCTCCAGCATTAACTAATTTGTTAATCCAAACAAATCTGTTAACTTTTCTGAGTCTCAGGTGTTTTGTGTACAAAATGGGGTAACACTATGGGCTCACTGAGAGCGTTAATGATTTGATAAACATGTACAAAATGCTTAGCAAAAGACCAAATGAGAAAACCCAGTCATCTCTACACTTGTCAAAGATACAGCCGGGGAAACGTGGTCAGCATTTAAATCCCAGGCTCAATAAACAGGCATGTAAGGCCAAGGAGGAAGACGGTGGATCTTCTGGCAGACAGTGAGGGGTTGAGGCATTCAGATACCCAGGTCCGAGGAGAGAGAGAGATGTAGAGAGATCATACCCTATCATCACTAGGGAGAATCGGCTGGATGACATCAGGTAACCCCAAAGTCCAGGGGACTGTGGAAAAGGTCAGAAGATGATAGAGTGGGCTTGGCAGAGAAGGGAAACTTCCCAGACACAGTCCTTCCCTCTTTTCGATGAGGTATGGAAGCTGCCAACCCCATGAAACCCTTGTAGTTGTTATGTGCTGTCGAGCAATCTCTGACTCATAGCCACCTTATGTACAACAGAACGAAACACTGCCTGGGCCTGGGCCAGCCTCACAATCCCTGCAGCCACTGTGTTAATCCATCTTGTTGAGGGCCTTCTCCTCTTTTGTTGACCCTCCACTTTACCAAGCACAGCATCCTTGTCCAGAGAATGGTCCCTTCTGACAACATGACCAAAGTAGGTGAGACAAAGTCTGGCCATTCTTGCTTCCAAGGAGCAATCCAGCTGCACTTCTCCCAGGATGCATTTGTTCATTCTTTCAGCAGTCCACAGTGCTTTTAGGATTCTTTGCCAACACCACAATTCAAAAGCATCAACTCTTCTTTGGTCTTCCTTATTCATTGTCCAGCTCTCACATAGACATGAAGAACTGAAAATATCATGGCTTGGGTTAGGGGCATCTTGTCTTCAAGGAGAGGTCGTTTGCAACAGATTTGCCCAATGCTATATGTCATCTGATGTCTTGACTGCTGCTTCTATTGGTGTTGACTGTAGAACCAAGTAATATGAAGTCTTTGACAATCTCAATGTTTTCTCCATTCGTTGTGATGCTGCTTACTGGTCCAATTGTGAGGATTTTTATCTTCTTTATATTGAGGTGTAATCCGTACTGCAGACTGTAGTCTTTAATCTTTACTAGTAAATGCTCCAAGTCATCCTCACTTTCAGCAAGCAAAGTTGTGTCGTCTGCATATCTCAGGCTGTTAATGATTGTTCCTTCAATCCTGATGCCATGCTCTTCTTCATATAGTCCAGCTTCTCGGATTATTTGCTCAGCATACAGATTGAATAAGTACGGTGAAAGGATACAACCCTGATGCACTCCCTTCCTGATTTTAAACCATGAAGTATCCTCTTGTTCTGTTTGAAAACAGTCTCCTAGTCTATATACAGGTTCCTCGTGAGTACAATCAAGTGTTCTGGAATTCCCATTTTTCTCAATGTTATCCACAATTTGTTGCAATTGCAATGCACACAATCGAATGCTTTTGCATAGTCAATAAAACACAAGTAAACATCTTTCTGGTATTCTCTGCTTTGAGCCAAGATCTATCTGACATCAGCTATGATATCCTTCACTCCATATTTCCTTCTGAATCCAGTTTGCATTTCTGGAAGCTCTCTGTCAATATACTGCTGCAACCATTTTTGAATTATCTTCAGTTACTTGCGTGTGATATCAATGATATTGTTCAATAATTTCCACATTCTGTGAGATCACCATTCTTTGGAATGGACACAAATATGATCAGTTGGCCAGGTAGCTGTCTTCCAAATCTCCTGGCATAACCGAGTGAGTGCTTCCAGTGCAGTATCCGTTTTTTGAAACACCTCAATGAGTATTCTGTCAATTCCCAGAGCCTTGTTTTTCACCAATTCCTTCTGTGCAGCTTCAACATCTTCCTTCAGTACCATTGGTTCTTGATCATATGCCACCTCCAGAAATGGATGAATATCAACCAATTCTTTTTGGTACAGTGACTCTGTGTATTCCTTCCATCTTCTTTTGATGTTTCCTGTATCATTCAACATACTGCCCATGGAATCTTTCAACACTGCAATTCGAGGCTTACATTTTTTCCTCAGTTCTTTCACCTTGAGAAATGCCAAGTGTGTTCTTCCTTTTTGGTTTTCTAACTCCAGGTCTTGCACATTTCATTATCATAACTGTCTTCTCAAGCTGCTCTTTGAAATCTTCTGTTCAGCTCTTTTATCTTGTCGATTCTTCCATTTGCTTTAGCTATTCTCCATTCAAGGGCAAGTTTCAGAGTCTCTTCTGACATAAGTTTTGGTCTTTTCTTCCTTTCCTGTCTTTTTAATGACCTTTCGCTTTCTTCATGGATGATGTTCTTGATGTCATCCCATGATTCCTCCAGTTTTTGGTCATTGGTGTTCAATGCAGCAAATCTATTCTTTAGATGGTCTCTAACTTCAGGAGAGATATAATCAAGGTCATATCTTGGCTCTCGTGGACTTGTTTTAATAGTCTTCAGCTTCAACTTGAACTTGCATATGAGCAGTTGATGGTCTGTTCCACAATCAGCTCCTGGCCTTGTTTTGGCTGAAGATACTGAGCTTTTCCATCGCTTTTTGCCACAGCTGTAGTCAATCTGATTCCTGTGTACTCAGCCTGGTGAAGTTCACATGTATAGCTGCCATTTGTGTCATTTAAAAAAGATATTTGCGATGAATAAGTCATTGGTCTTGCAAAATTCTATCATGCAATCTCCAGCGTCATTTCTATCACCAAGGCCATATTTTTCAACTACTGGTGATTCTTCTTTGTTTCCAACTTTTACATTCCAATCACCAGTGATAATTAACACACCTTGATTGCATGTTTGGTCAATTTCAGACCGCAGAAGTTGGTAAAAATCTTCAATTTCCTCATTTTTGGCTTTGGTGGTTGGTGCGTAAATTTGAAACCCTTAGGATATGCAATTACCATGGAAATTATAGGCTGTCAGAGGTGAAAGGAGCCCAAATACCTACAGATAATGAAACTGAGGCCAAAAGAAGGAAGAAGGACCTTGCCCAGAGTCCCACTGTGGGGTAGCTACTGAGCTGGGCTTCTGAGCAATGTCCCAGTACAGTGCTCTGTCCCCCATACCACAGCTCCACCCTGATACCAGCCCTACCTCTTTTGTCCAAAGAAGAGTTGCTTCAACATGTTAACATGTGTTAACAAACACACTTGGGATGGTATCTCCAAAGATTCTAAACTATATTCACAGGAGACATGCACAGACCTTGGAGGCAATGTGAAGAGTTCTTGAAGCCCTCAGACTATAGGAAGCCCCTGAAGGCAGAGATTCTGTGTGATCTTGGGCAAGTTGCCCATTTTGAGTTCCTTCATTTTCCAACTACAGAATGGGGAAATAAGGCCTATCTCTCAGGGTGGTTGTGAGAATATGTATGAGATAATGCACAGAGAGGATTTAGCCTGGTACCTGGCACAGAGTATATTCAATGGGCAGTACCTATGATCTGCTGCTGATCCCAGAAAGGTCCATCAAATTCTGGGTACTCTTCATACTAGGACTAGAAGCCTAACATTCTCCTCCATGGACATGAACCTGAGATGTTTTTATGCCTAGGTCCAGTGGTAGCTCATCCCAACGTTGAAGAAAGTAAGTCAAAGAATCAGATAGACTGGGGTGAGGGAGCCATACAGGAGTAGGCTAAAGAACTAGGACACTTCTTACTGGAGAGACAAAAACAAGGGAAAAGAACATGGTCATTGCTACAGTTCCCAAAGACCCAGACAGGGAGAAATGTGTTCACCAAATCCCAGTGTATCAGACCTTGATCCTCACCTTTAAACTTGAGAAGGGAAAACTAAAAGGTGATTAACTTAAGGAGCTATGACTTTGGTCCAAAAGATAGCTCAGATTAAAAATAAAAACAATTTCCAAAGAGATTTAGAAAAATTTCGAGAGGGCAGATCCATGCCTCTGGCATACAATGCAAACAAACACAACCACTACCGTGGAGTCGGATCCAACTCATAGAGACCCTTCCATGGGTTTCCAAGGCAGTATCACTACGGAAATAGATTGCCCAACCTTCCTTCCGAGGAGTGGCTGATGGTGTTGAACCACCAGCCTTCTGGTTAGCAGTCAAATGCACTACGCCACCACAGCAGCTCCCCTCTGGCATACAAATCAAACCAAACTCACTGTCATCGAGTCAGATCCAACTCACAGCGACCCCTCCTTGGGTTTCCGAGGCAGTATCATTATGGAAGTAGATTACCCAACTTTCCTTCCCAGGAGAGGCTGGTGGTTTTGAACTGTCAGCCTTCGGGTTAGCAGTCAAATGCCTTAGGCACTATGCCACCACAGAAGGTGCTAACCAACTGCCCAAATAAATGATGGTCTGCAAAGTCCTGGGACACAGACCTGAGAGTGTATGTCCATGCTCTAGGTATCTTTTGGGGAATATTTTCATTCCATGGTCCTATTCTCTGAAATCTGCTCTCCTCACCTCCAGAGATGGGCCCATGCTGCCTTTTTTGTTCTGGCCGGTGCTGACTCGACTAGGGGGTGATAACCAATCCAAGCTGGGACTATCAGATTCTCTCTCCAGGGAATCTGGAATTGAGGCTCTGGGAAGCTAGTTAATTGACTGGAAGCACTAAA